CTTCTCTCTCTCTCCTTCATTTAGTTACTTTGCTCGCCACAGTTGACTTCATCGCTAGCAACAATACTAGCTAACAAATAACTTAGCAAAACCATTGGAGCCAAAATTAAAATTGTTTGTTAGTTAAGAAAATTCAGTAGCTTTCTTGCACTAAGCATTCACATTCACTAAATGCATTGTTAGAGTTAGTTAGCCACAATTAGCTAACAAACAAATGAGAAATATGCTCCAATAGATTGCTAAGGTGCTTTTTAGTTACAAGTTTGCTAGATTTTGTTGCTAACTACAGCAGGCGAGTGTAGTAGCAAAGAAAATGAAGGAAAATGGGAGAGAGATGGAAGGTTGTTAGAGAGAGGGAGAGGGAGAGGAGAGAGAGAGAGGGAGAGGGAGAGAGAAGAGTAAACTTTGGTGTCAGGGAAGTTGTCAGTTCGCTACCTTTTTTTTTTTTCATTTTATATTTATAAATATAAAATATGGAGGTAAATACACTGACACCCCTTGAGGTTTGTTTTAATGTAACTACCTCCCTCGATGTTCTAGAAATTACATTCCCCTCCTAAAGATTTAAACTTCCATTACAATTTAATCCTTTCGTTAGTCAATCGTAAGTCAACTAACGGAAAAAACTAATATAAGAAATTAATTTTTTAAAAATGCCTATTTAATTTGGTGGCATTGTTTGTTTCATCTTTAATTTTCTTTTTAATTGTAGCAATGTGTTGACAATAATTAATAATACCAGATGCAAGAGATAAAAGTACGTAGATTACTACACACTAAGATGTTAAATATATCTTATGAATATGAAATATTTAGACTTAAATCAATGAAAATGTTGTTTTGAATGATGATCACATAGTTTAATAGGTAAGAAATTAACAAAGGTTTCTATGTAAGATCAACATTTTACCTTTTTTCCTTTTTTAAATATTTCTTATCAACCATTCTTAATAAAGACAGTAAACAAAGACAAACTTTCAATTTCTAAAGTAACAATAATTTAACAACGATATTGATCTTTGGACAATAAGTAGACATACTTTTCTAAGTAACAATGATCAAATAATAAAAAAAAATATTTACGATCTTTTATTTTAAAGCCTAAAATATTTTAAAAGAAATAACTAACCCCACCCATGTAATATTTAACTATATTTAATTTAATAATATAACTATATATAATTCATGGTGTAAGTTACTTTAATCTTAAACATTTTTACAAGATGTATTATGATTTTTTTTAAAGGAAAAAAATGAGAAGAAAAACATGTTGGATTTGACTGAATCTTATTGAATCTTATTAAAAACTTTATGATCATAATCACTAAAATAACAAAAAATCATGTATATATATTGGTTATTTTGGCACTAAACGCTATTAGAAGTTGTATTATGTCATTTTCACTGAAAAAATGGAGAAAAAAATAGTCGAAACTAGATAGTTATTGAAGGCATACCCCTGTATGCGGGGCATTAAGAAACCTTCCTCAAAATTGGTGGTCATTGGGGTCAGGTTTTGGCCATGATGAATAATACCATTGGTGTGAACTTGCCACATCAATAGGATTCAGAAAGTATCTTTATGAATGAAGACGACTTTTTGGGAAAGGAGGGTAACAACAACCAATGTATGAACCAAAATCATATCCAAACAAAAGTTATTGATCTGATTCTAAATCTATATTCAAAGAGAATACACAAAATAATACAAAATCAAATACAATACAAAATTTAATTTTTTCTTCATCTCATCATAGTGAACATACAATCAACAAATGAATTATCAAACATAAGTCTTTTACCATATACACACATTAATGTGTACTAACTGGGCATTATTTTTAAAGTCTTTTACCATATACATGTCCTAACTCGTGAGCATAATGAATTTACTCTCCAAGATGAGTTGACACAAAATTGAAAGGAGTTATAAGTAGAACCAAAAGCCTCAAAAGTTAACAAACTGAAGATGTATGCCAAAGCAAACGACAACCAAAGCATTGTAAGCTTAGGCAAAGCATACAAAACAAACAATTCAAGGGAAACAAAAAAAATCTACAAACAAATAATTAAAACCTGAAAAGAGGAAACCATATACCCAAGCAGCTGCGAAAAGGAAAGAAAATCATAACCCTGTTGTCACACTGAGTTGCTGAGAAGGCAATCAAGAATAAGAGGATAGGTGCAAGCAAAATGTATGGATTGATGAGTTGGCATCTTATAAGAGTAAGTTTAGTTCAAAGGGTGTCACGGTTAATTAATTATTAGAGAAGACGAGCTGGACATCAGGGGGCACATATCAACCAATAGAATTAAAAAGTTTGTTAGGAGGTTAAGAAGAATTTGTTAAAGAGTTTGTTATGAAGAATTTGTTAGGTCGTGAAGCTTCTAAAAAGGAGAGTAGCAAAGGAGGAGAACTGTGATGGATTTGTGCTTTCCTTAAGAGTGAAAACTTCATTGGTTTAATTTAGTCTGAAGAAAAGAACTGTTTTCTGTAAATGGCAATCCGAAAAAGATCAAAAAGCTTTTGCAATCCGACCATATATAACTGATCAAACAAAAACGGCAATCCAAAAATAAACCCTAGCCTTGACTCTATTATCATTTAAGAAGTGCCATAACCTTAATGAACTCATTCAGCTAATATGACTATTAAAAACAAAATTAAGAAAACTAATCTTCATATGATCATGTAACGTCTAATGAAGCAAGATCGTCTTAAGAAAACTTGATTTGATTTCACATTATTATTGATTTTAAATATGTTTGAGCTGAGAATTAAATATTGCGTTGGGTTGGGTCAATTTAAATATCGTGAATGGTCCAATTTATATTAGAATCTTCCTTCGTTTCATCCTATGTTTTGTTTTCTTTTGTGTTTCCAATAGTAACATGGCAATAGTTTCATCCTTAGTTGCAGGAATCGTGCAACCATGTGACGAATCTTCGTAAAAAACGCGATTCCGCGTTTCTTAGAAAGAAACGTATAAGAAACGTGTAAGAATCGCGTTCCTGTAGAGAGAGAAACGCGACCATGTCCAAGATGGGATCGTTGGTGGAAATAAAACAACTCAGAAACCCAGACAGAGAGAAGCCCTAACCCATTGAAGACAGAGAAAGAGAATACAGACAGAAACCCTAACCCATTGAAGACAGAGAAAGAGAAAGGGAAAGGGGAAAAACTTGTTGAAGCCCTAATCGAGACTAGATCAAGGTATGCTCTTCCAATCTATGTGTGTTCGACTATCTCTCTCCCTCTGTTCATCGTCGAAGTCGAATCTGTTTATCTTCTTTGACTCTCCCTCTATTCGATGCTCTTCTTCATCGTCGTCTCCTTCGTCCTTTGTATCTCTCTCTCTGTGTTCATCTTCGTCTTTGTCTCGTCTCTCTCTGTTCGTCTCTCTTGTTCCTCCCCTCTATTCGACTCATCTCTCTTCCCACTTCGTTGTTGTCTTTGTCCCTCTTTTATTCTTTATTTTTATTTTTTTTACCTTTTTTTGTTTTTAGTAATAAAAAAACCATTTTACATCTTTTATTTATTTTTTTATATTTTTAATATTCTCAATATCCTAAACATTAACATATAGAATAAAAAAATTATAAAATAAAATCATATATAATAAAAAAATTATAAAATAAAATTTCTAATTTTTCTTTTTGTTTATTTTAACATAATTTATTATTCCTTATTTATTATAATTTTTTATTTATAATATATATCAATTAAAAATAAAAAAAAAAGTCAAAAAGTTACTAAATTAGCCAAAAAGCCAACAACCCATACCAAAAAGTCAAAGATTCTTTTTTTTCTCTACTTTTTGCACATCTTTTCGTAAAAAGCTAAAAAGTCATCCCAAACATACTAGTTTTTTTTAGCTCATATTTTAGCCAAATAGCCAAAAAGTTACTAAATTAGCATGTTCCCAAACGAGGCCTAAATAATACATTATTTAAAAAATATAATAAATAAATAAAATATTTAATGTGTATTAAAATAAAAATATTTATAAAAAAACTTCTAATGTGTATTAAAATATATATTTATCTATTACCGCTCCTCGAGGCGCTCCCAACCTAAGAAACTTCTATCAACTCACGCTTCCTCGCTCCCGCTCCCGCCCCGGCTCCTGCTCCCGCCCCCTCTCCCACTTCGTGCAACTAAGGTTTCATCAGCACCAAGGGTTATCAGACTATCTTGGTATTTAAGCATCCAACCAATCAGAAATAGATAAGAACAACCAACAAAATGAAATAATAACTAGAAAAAATGAAGTTACGAGTAGAAAAGAACAGCAATAACTTAGTGAAATGAAGTTCACAAGAGCACAAAATAACACTCTTTTATTAGAAAAAAAATCATTAGGATAGAAAACTTTACAGCAACAACGCACCAAACAGCAAATCAAAACTCAAAAAAACAAAATAAGGATAGAAAAGGAAGTGATTAATGTGAAAGAAGTACCTCATGGTGAACATTTTTGTTTTCAACTATCAAACCAATTGCTACACAATCAAAGAAATAAAAATAATCTACATATTGAAGAGCTGAGAAAACCAAAATTTTTAGGAACTTTGACAACCCCCCTACGCATAAATCATTAATTCAATTTTGGTTATGAGCAACTCAAAAAATTGGCTCAAGGGATAATCCAAACATGTTTATTTTTTATTCCTACAATCTCCAAGTTAGGCCTATATCTAATGTGCGATCTTGAGTTTTAAGTTTCTTGATCTTCTGGTAACACCCTGTTTTACCTCACATTTATAGGCCCATAATTTTCTCCTGCTCCATAAGATTCTGAGTCTCATTTAAGCTGTTAGGGTCAAGCGTAGTGTATCTCATTTAAACAATGTATTAATATCGTAACATAAAAGGTCAAACAATCTTGAAAGGACTCTAGTATCTTTACTACTAATTTGAGGTTGCATTAGTCCTGAAAAGTGGCCCAAATGTTCCATGGCTGATTAAGCATTAATGATAAAAATAGTCCAGCTTTTACCTAGATTGCCAAAGTTGATTAGCGTAGTTTCATTTCTTTCCATCAGTTGAATGAAGCCATCAACCTGCAAGTTTGAAACAAGGGAAGGGGTAACAATTAATTTTATAAACACAACTTCAATAAACTTGAACAGTTGGAAAATCTATGTAATCTTGCATAGCATGGCAAAAAAGCTACACTTCTGCAGTGTGTGTGTGTGTGTGCGCGCACAAAGTGACTACATACAGAAGTCATGAACCATCATGGAACAGACTAGAGAGATCAGAAATTACTAAAAAAAAACATGGCAAGTAAAGAAATATTATACCACTCCTTTGTCAAGAAAGATAATATAAGGAAGCATAATGAAAAACGAGCAAATACAAATCATAGAAAACAATTATGGCATTTATGTATGTATATGAATTAACATTTTCTAAATCTCCATAGACTTATGATGTGTTTGGTTGAGAGATTTGAGGAGGGATTTGGAAAGGGAAATGGAAAATGTAGGTGAAATGTAAAAAAAATATACCTACATTTCACATAGTTTCACACACCTTTTCCCTTTCCCTTTCTAAATCCCTCCCCAAATCCCCCCAACCAAACATAGCATTACTGATAGGCATGAAAACAATATAGCTAGAGCTACTACTGTAGCAACAATGGATGTGATAAATCATTCATTTACAAGATAGAAAAATTATATTTGTAGCAAACAGGTAAAATTTATGGAACAGCTGAGTGACATTGTTGTATTTTCCTTTCGTCTATGCATCCTATGGTTCTAGGTAATGGTTATCTTATCTTAGGTAGAAAGGACCCAAAAAAAAAACTGAAATGTCACACAAAAAATATATTTAGAATATTGTGATTATATGACATTTTTTAAATGAGACAGGCTTCTCTTTGTAAACTGGATATTCAGTCCAGTTTATTTAACTGGCCCACACCTTTTCTCTGAGTCTGTTTTTCTTTGATGCTTCCTGTTTTGAGCCAAACATCCCACTGTCTATAACCATTGCACATATTCGTAACTTAAGGCTAGAATCTTTAATAAGCTCACCGAAAAAAAAAAAACTAAGGGAAAGAAAGGACCAAAATGAAGTTGAACCAGCTAAACAATTGTAAAACACAGAATCAAGATCTAAGAGTCCTATCATAAACAATAGTGCAAATAAACGAACTTGACAGAATACAAAATAATCAAAGGATCAAATCCAACATGAAACCAGATTACATGCTAAAACAACCCAATACAAATCAGAACCCCATACCTAGTAGAAGAACCCTAGATCTAGATCCAAATCAGTCAAATCCAAATTAAACTCAGCCAGATCTAAAAGCCCTACATCGAATAGAGAAAAGCACAGATCTGAACTCTATAGTCTTCAAAATCGATTCCTCTTTGAACTCGAGAGGCTTTGAAATATTGAAGGACAGACTGAAGGGTCGTTTGGTAATGATTTTTAAGTTGGTTTTTGTTTTTGTTTTTTTTTGGGGGGGTAAAATTACATTGACACCTCTAATATTTATATTTATTACAATTTTTTCTCCTCTTTTGAAAATTACAACTCATTTCCTGATGTTTAAAGTTTCATTACAGATTGCTCTCTCGGTTAGTTAACTGTCAACTAATAGATTTTGCTGATGTTAGAAATTTAATTTTTTTAAATACCAATTTTGCCCTCACTGGGTAAATTACATTGACACCCCTCACATTTTAGAATTTACAATGTCCTCCCCAGGGTTTAAATGAGCATTACTAATTGCTCCCTCAGTTAATATTAGTTCGAAAAAAAATTATTTGAAAATTAAATTTCTGTTTAAAAATCAACATAAACTCATTTTTTGAATTTACTTTTTTTTCAAATTTACAAACTGAGACAACTATTTATAAACCAAAAAAATTATCAAATAAATTTTTATGACAATTTTTAAAATTTTTGTACATATAAATTGAAAACTGAAAATGAAATGGTTACCAAACAGATATCAGATGGTAAAAATGTCGTAAAATTAACAAATAATTAAATAAGTTACCAACGTAAGAAATGACTTATCAAAATATTCATATGCTATGTATTGTTTGATTTTTAGAAATTTTTTGGAAAAATTAAAAATTAATTTGGTTAAGAAATAAAAAATAATTATCATTTTTATATAATTTTTATCTTTCGAGTGATTAGAAATAATTTTTTACAAATTAAACATATTTTTTCATACTTATTTTTATTAAATTAGTTTTTTTTTTTAATGTCAAGTGGGGATCCGTATTAAATTAAAACCTCAGGGGGTGTCAATGTAATTTACCTTTTTTTTTACTTTTTTAGTTTGGGATTTTTTTGCTTGTTTGATTTTTTTTTTGTTTGGCTTTTTTTGACTTTTTGGTTTTGGAATGGTAAATTTTTTTTGTCCTTTTGTGATTTTTGATTTCTTTTTTTTTTTTGTCTTTTTGTAATTTTTTAGCCCAAAAAGAAAATCACTCCGGGGTTGAGACGCGATACAAGAAAAGAGCCGATGAGAGAGAGAGAGAGAGAGAACACGAGCGTGTGAGAGAAACGATTCAGTAAGTTTGGTTTCAGTTTTTTTAATTTAGTTTTTTAAAATTTGAGTTTTTTTTGTGATTTTTTTTTATTTTTAGTGAATACTTTTTAAATTTTAAGGTAGCATTTGATAACGTTTATTATTTTTGTTTATATTTATAAAAATTTTAGGGCCTGTTTGGTAACCATTTCGTTTTTAGTTTTTAGTTTATATTTACAAAAATTTTAAAAACTGTAATAAAAACTTGTTTGATAATTTTTTTTAATTTATAAATAATTGTCTCAGTTTATATATTTGAGAAAAAAACGTAAACTCAAAAAATAAGTTTATGTTGATTTTTAAATAGAAATTTTGCCGATAAAGGTCGGACTGACGGATTGAGTTAATCGGATCCATTTATTTATTTACTTTTTTTTGTAATGTTGTGTTGTGTGATTTTGAATTCATTTCAGGTTCATATTATCAAAAATCTTCACATTTAGTTAAAAAATACTAAATGTGTAGAAACATTCGTTGTGTTTAGTTTCAATTTTCTGAATTCAGTTTTTTGAAAATTGAGTTTTTTTATTTTTTATGTTTTTTTTGTTTTAGTGAATATTTTTAAAATTTTAAGTAATTTTTTATTTTTTTAGATGCACCTTCCTTAGATGTATCTAAATAGTAACATATTTGTGAAAAAATATTTTAAAAAATTAATAAATACAAAAAATATGAAAAATGCACTGAATTTTTATATTTTTTTCTATTTTTGATATTTAGTAAATTTAAAAAAAATCATAAATATTATATTTTCTAAATTTATTTATGTTAGATTTGTTTAAAAATTAAAAAAATATATATTAAAAATATTAAAAAATTTAGTGAAAGCAAAAAAATATGAAAAAATAAGAAGTAAAATTTTTTGAAAAATGAATTCTGAAAACAGAAAATAAGCAGATGTCTCCGCAATTAACAGTTGAAACGATATCATTTAGTTCACACCATGAGACAGCGTTTTGAAAAGGTGATCATCATAGGTCCGCCAATACTGGCGTTTTCATAAATGCCGCAAATATAGTGCCGCAACAGGTTCTTTTTCTTGTACCACAATGAAAATGGTCAGAATCCTAAAATTTATAAGGCGAATGAAACAACAATGTTTACCCTTAAGAGCAAGAGCCAATTAGCCATTCAAACAAATTTTAAAACTGCTTAACATTTCAAAAGACAAGAACTTGAATAAACTGAGACCCAACAAAATGAAAAAAGAAACAGCAACAATTTGAACACAGAAAGAGTGAGAATTAAATTTTTGGAACTAAATTATTATAATAATTTGCCCAGAACAATATTTTGATATTTTTAAAGTATTATGTCAATATAATCAATATCAAATTTCAAGAGAGGGAAACTGGATGTCAGGGCAAGTTTACCATTAGAAAATGTTTTTTGCTGAAATAAACAGAGCATAAAAGTTCAATGCTAACTGGATTCAAATTATAGCTTAGTCTTCTAATTTGATGTTCAAAATAGAATGGTTAAAAGAAAAGTAACAAAAAAAGTGATACAAAACTGATGGGATTAGGATTTGTGAAAGTAGCTCATATATAAATAAGTGTACATGTTCTTGTGCAAGCTGAGCATAACAAATTAGAGTTCAGTTCTCTTCGTGGTTGATGCTCTCACCTTGAATGGTTGAAAGACAAAGTTTAGTGATCCAAACTCTCAATTTTATGAATGATAATATCAATATTCCATGTCACCAATAATCCCCACAAGAACAAATGCCATCCTTGAAGTGATGGAAGCGGGTTCGAATCCCTCACAATAATCTCCTTCTCTGTAATCTTTGATATGAATTTAGTCACATTGTGGCAATCCCCACAAACGCGCAAGTTCTTGAATATCCGAATTGGACTCTTAGGAGGGGTGCTGATAATTCCATACGTGATAGCCAATCTCTCACTATGACTCATAAGGATATACTCTTTTTCATCCTCCTCAACATCCTGCAGCACAAAGCTACAGTCCGGAATATAACCGACGGTCTTAATCTTAGCTGTTAAAATCTCCAACTCCTTGCAGATCTCCTCACAATGTGGATGGGATTGGTTCCCGGTATAAAAGAGTTCAATCCTGTTGTTCAGTTCAATTGAGCTCCACCCCGGTGTCTTCTTCAATCCACGGTCTCTAGCTAATGATCTCACTTCATCCGCACCTTCCCACTTTCCGACATTTGCGTATATATTCAATAGTATGACATAGTACCCAACATTTTCCGAATCAACTTCAAACAAGCGTTCTGAAGCGAATTTTCCCAGCTCAACATTTCAATGGATTCAACAAGCTCCGAGAAGAGCACCTCAAACCGAAGCATCAAGCCCTAAAGGCATATTCTTGACAAAACTATATGCCTTTTCTAGGTATCCAGGTCTACCATGCAGCCATAATGCTTCAAACTAGGTTTGATTCCATACTCTTCCTACATCACACGAAAGCACCACTGACCCTGATCAACTAAGCCCGAATGGCTACAAGCTGACAATAAGGATACAAAAGTTACATGATCGGGCTTCACCCCCTCGTCCTGCATAGCTTGAAATAGCTGCATAAAAGTCTCACTGTGTCCGTGAATCTCATGACACGATATTATGGCATTCTACAGAACTGAACTTATCCTGGGTACTTCACAGAATAAGGACATTGCATCGTCTAATCTCCCACATTTTCCATACAGGTCGATGAGGCAAGTACTGACATAGATATCCAAGTGAAGACTAGCTTTTAAAATACGCCCGTGAGTTCTCATACCCAGTTTCAAGGCTCCGATGTGAGAGTAAGCTGGGAAAACGCTTACTCAAGTCCCTTGGTTTGGGGTTACATCCTCATACGCTTCCATTGTGCAGAATACTTCAATAGCCTCACTTACAAGACCATTTTGACCATAACCTGTAATCATCTTGTTCCATGAAACCACATCCTTTAAAGAAATTTCTTCAAAAACTACATGTGCAGAATCAACAACACCCAACTTTGCCTACATGTCCATGACAGCATTTCCAACAACATCTTCCAGAATCTAACATCTCCTCATGATGAAACCATGAATAGACCTGCCACTTTGGCAATCCCTAGACTGAGCAACACTGGAAGCCAAGCTCACTCGTGTCAACTGTTAGTGTATAATTGTTAATAGCTGTTATAGCATCAGAGCTTAGCATTATAGCGCATCATAACTTAGCATTATAGCTTTAGCACTTTATCTTTTATGTTGTAAATACTTTATGCTTTCGGTGGGCATCCAATGCATCATATTCTCTCTATAAGGAGAGTGCATTCTCTTTGTAAAATACACACACAATTACAGACAGACAATTCAATGTCTCTCTCTCTCTCTATTCTCTCTCTCTCTATCAAACTATTGTTTCATGGTATCAGAGCCCAGGTATACAATTCTGGCATTTTTCAATTTTGGTGTTTAGTCCCGTACACAGTGGAACAACACCAAACAGCTCGGAATCTCCTTACGATTCCAACGGCACCACGCACGTCATCAGAAACTCCTTCACGCGCTCTCGCGTGCCTCCTTTGTGATCGGCGCGTCACTTCTTCCGTCGCCACTCTCACACGCGCCTTCACGCGCCTTCAAGTCTGCTTCTTCGTGCGCCGCGCCTGCTACCGTGCACCCGCGTGCGCCATTCCTCTACCGTGAGCAACGCTTGCGCCATTCCACTATCGTGCACCTGCCTGCGCCATCCTGCTATTGTGAGCCGCGCATGCGCCAGTTTTGCTAACGTGCGCCGTTGACATCATCTTGCATTCTGCTGACATCATCTCTACATAGCACACCTTTCCTAGCTATTTTCGACCTTCCGGGCTCATTGGCACACTCTACCTAATTTTGCTCCTACAGGTCTATTCCTATTAATTTAGTCCGACTCAAC